GGCAGGACATGAAACCACCGCCAATGTACTTTCGTGGATGTGGTATCTACTGTCTCAATCGCCTGATGTAGAAAAAAAGCTGCATAATGAGTTAGACCGTGAACTCGCCGGAGCAACGCCGACGTTCAGCGATATAGCCAAATTACCTTATACACGCGCTATTCTCGATGAAACCATGCGTCTTTATCCGCCAGTCCCCATACTCGCAAGACAATCACGCGGTGAAGACAGCATAAACGGCAAACACATTCCTCCTAAGTCGAATATGCTGGTGGTTCCTTGGTTGATACAACGTCACTCATTATATTGGGATCAGCCGGATCACTTTATCCCCGAACGCTTTATGCCGGGCGCACCCAAGCCGCATAAGTTCACCTATATTCCGTTTAGTGCTGGCCCACGAGTTTGCCCCGGCAAAGCCTTTGGTATCAATGAGTCCGTGTTAGTATTTGCGATTTTAGCGCAACACTATCGCGCTGAAACCACTGGCAACTATCAAGGTGAACATGATTGTCGTCTCACCTTGCGCCCTAAAGATAATTTACCGATGAAGCTAATCCGACGCTGAGCTACCGTTAAACCAATAAATACAATAGAAAAGCACCAAACACAATACGGTACACACCGAAGCTAACGAAAGTGAAGTTTTCAAGAAAACGGATAAATAACTTCATGGTAAGATAAGCCACGATAAAGGCAGTGATGAAACCAACCACTAGAGGCAACCAATTCGCACCCATAAAATCGTCATAATGCTTTAAAAACGCATAAGCACTGGTTGCGCCCATCACCGGAAGCGCCAGCAAAAAGGAAAACTCCGCGCTTGCCTTACGACTCAACCCCACTAATAAAGCACCGACTATCGTAGAACCGGCGCGACTAGTACCGGGAATTAAGGCAAATATCTGTGCAAACCCAATCCACGCGGCTTGCTTATAACTCACTTCATCGACGGTTTTAGTGTGCTCCATACTGTCTTTATGAAAGTATTCCAACACTAAAAACACCACACCACCGACAATAAACATCACCGGCACCACCGTTTTGCTTCGGAACAGCGCCTCAATGTGATCTTTAAAAATGAAACCCACCATGGCTAACGGCAAGAAGGCAATCAATACTTTTAACCACAATGCGGTATATTGAAAACTAAACTTATCTTTATAATTCACCACCACGGCCAAAATAGCGGCCAATTGAATAATCACTTCAAAAGCAATATTCACCTTAGTCTGCTCAATGCCAAGCCACTGAC